TGGTTGCAAGTGAAATCTGTGACTTGCTCTAGCCCAGCCAACAGATCTTTCTTGTTTGAGTAGTCTTCTGGTTAAAGAACTTTGAAGCACTGATTTGGCCAACTGCTCAGAGCCCTGAAGCCACTGTCAAGGATATGCTGTGACCCTCACCAGGGGGTCGTCGCAAGGACCGAGATGAGTGGGCGTTGCTGAGTGTTGCACAGGATTTGCTTTGTGCTGTCAGAAAGAGGAACTGAAGTCTGAGCCGTAGGCCCCAAGAAACTTGTTGAACATCTGTGAACAAGCAGCATTAAAGGATTTTTTTTGTTTTGTTTTAATTTTTATCTTCTTAGAGTGGCTCAAAATTTCAGAAGGTACCATCTCAGAAATGCACTAGTTATTGCATTTGCACTAATTAGTGCCCTCAGGGAGCCATTTGCATGCAGGAAGGAACAGAGGACAATGGGATTTCCTGATCTGCCAAAGTCTAGTCATTTGGGATTGTGGGAAACCACATCTCATAAATTGACTAAGCTCAGCATATTACTAATCAATTCTGCCTGTCTCCCCCTCAACATTATGGTTAGCGCACACCTCCAGGCACAGAGGAGATCCTTGATCTCACCTAACAGCCTGATTTTGCCCTACATCTGGTGGAGAAGGAAGATGGTGCAGTCATTTAAGCCTTTTCATGTTACGTGACTGTTTTTCAGCTCTCATTGTTAAAACCCTTTTCTCCTCTGCCTCGCAAACTCTCCAAAAGTGAACTAACTTTTAGGATATATCTTTTGGTCTCATCTATCTTGAACTTCAGCCTGGATTTGCCATACCACACTCCTGTCTGCGCTATAGCATTTCGAGTAGTGTTTATTGTGTTAAGGAGAATTTTAAGAATTTATTTTTTTTTTAGTGCATCAAAGATACTGCATCAGTCTGGTTTGAGACTATTTTATGTGTTGCTTCTCTCCAGCTGACTGAATGCCCTTTCCTTTCCCCCCTCCTCTTTTACGTGGCAGTGCACGGAAAGATGATTGATGGAGTGTCACCAGTGCGTTGTCAAAGTCTGGAGTAGATTAATGGGCAAGAAACACCAGCCTGTTCCCCTTCACATGCAATTGTTTGAAGGAGGGCTCATATTTTAACAGAAATGATATCCTGCTTCTCTGGATTCCCCCAATCAGGAATTGAAGGATGGGATTTGTATCCGAGATTGAAAGGTGCCAGCCACAAAGAGCCAGTTTATTACTTGGGACAACTGCCTGCCTTCCACTTGACCAACGGCACTCGCTCTGAGGCCTGTTGCAGTCAGGCTCCTCTCCTCTTTACTGGTGTGGACTTGTGCCCCCAGTTAACATTTACACCTCTATATGTTTGTATTTGCAGACAAAACTAGTTAGGCTTAGACCAAATGGCCAGAAGATCTCTGATCTGCTACTACCTTTTCCACCTGGGCGGGACTGGCCAATTTGCCTGTGCTGGCCATGTGTGACCCAGAGCAGCTCAGATCCTTTGAAAAGGCTTTTTTTGGTGTTTGGCCTTGGTCACAAATTCAGCCTTGATCTGTGTCTCAATTCCCCAGCTGCAAAACAGGGATAGCAATATGGTAATTTCCAAACATTGCACTTGCCGTGAATTGTTTCCTAGCAGAAATGCTAGGAATGCAGTTTATAAGAGAAATTAATCAAAGACTGGTCTGAATCCTGGCTGGGGAAAAAATAATCAGACCCAGAGTATGATTGTTTTCTGCATTTTCTTGAAGGTAGACATTGCCAGCATTTCATAATCAGCTATTCTGGTCCAAACAGATACTTCAGCCTTGTTATTTGTAGTCCTCAGTAGTGGCCTCTATTGAACAGCTGAATGTGGCAAGAATTGTCTTTCACACCAGCCTATCTGTGTCTGCCAGAAGCATACACCTGGCTGTCATAAACCCCAGTTCCAAGGGCTAGATGGAGCCCATTTTTTCTGATTATCCAGGGAACAGCTGTTCTTCCAAGTATATTCTCTTTTCAGTGGTTCCGATCTCAAGCCTGTGTCCAGCCAGCTAAAAGGTGCATTTAAGTGTATCTTAAAGCAGGTGCCTTTTCGTAGGTAGATAGAAATCAGAGCTACTGTTCATTTTCTTGTAATACGTTAACAAGCAAAATGAAAAGAAATCTGCACTTCTTACCTGTTTGGTAAGAAGTGATTACCTGTGGTTTGCTGATCCAGTCCAGCTCTCTGTCTGCTTTTCTCTCTTGTCATGGCAAAGGTCTGCGCTTCATGCAGATGTAGACATTTTCTTTGATAGAGACTTGTGACAGGTGATGTTTAGTTAAAAGAGATTGTTGAACATAACTATTCCCACCATTTATGTTCCCAGAGTTCATCTCTGGAGTATGTTGAGGGGCTCGGGGGTTTTTTGAGGAAGACATAAATGTCAGTTTGTTTCTGCTCTGGATGGAATCTCTAGGGAGACATGTCCTGTGGTTTTACATTTACAAAACTTGTTTTAGGGAGTATGATATACCCCCTGAAATTTGAATCTAATTGAGAGAACTGGTACTCTTCTTTGTTCACCTGGCATTATGGTCATTTCCTTTTTGGTTTTGTGACTGGTTTTAGGTCACAATTGTTGTGGCCAATAAACAGCAAATTGCCCTTGAATCCAGAAGACAGTGTCTGCCTTTGTAAGGCAGGTTACACTTAAGTTTCGTATTTGTTGCCCCAGTGAATAGACAGGATGCTAGAAGGAAAGAGAGGAAAAAAGAAACTTCCTAATGCATGCCCATGCTTGATACTGGCAGAACTTGTTCAGTTTGCAGGCTGTGCGCATTTTGCAGCCAGGCCAGGGTCTCCTTGAATCATGATGTGTGGGCCATGAACAGCCTCGTCTTCTATGCTAACTAAAGCCTACATGGCTGGGAGAGCTTCTTGCTCTTTGGCAATTTGTATTCATTTGTTCTCCAAGAAAATGAGGCTTCAGGGAGGACTTTTACTAAGCACCTTACAGATGTTAGTGTGCACTGACTCAATGTACAGTTTATGTGCCTCCCCTTTCTCTTCTTTCACTGGGGCAGCAGTGGGTTGGATATTTGGAGCCTGCTTTTCCTGAAAAAAAGACCAAAAAAAAAAGATTGTGTAACCATTAATGATTCGATACTGTGTCTGGGAGCCACTGTGCTGCAGGACTTTGCTCTAATGGTGCTTTCACAAGAAAGAACTAATTTGACTAACTTTATTAATTCCAGTTTGTTTTAAGTTTGCTCATTAGTAATTTAACGCAAGATGCTTCAGCTGAAGAGGCCATGTCAGGACAAGGAAGAGCAGAGGGAAAGTGCCAGGAATCATTAGTGTTTATTAACCACTGCACTCATCAATCTTGACTAAGAGCACAGCCCATTCGTTCTGGACTGGTGGACTGAGATACAGAAATATCATTAACACTGGAAAATGCTGCTTTTCAGGTCAGTCCATAATGGACATGCATTCAGATGACACCCCCACCCCCATCACCAAATATTATCAGCTCTTCCGTTGGTCTCTTCACAGTCCAGCCTGAACCTACAGAGCTCAGCAGCCTTGTGGAAGGAAGAAGCCCTGCCCCTAGCCAGCTGTAGTATCAATTAACAAATACAGTATTTTCATCCCCAGTAAACATTACTGAAAGGTTAAGTGTTGTTATGAAGGGGTTTTTTTAATTGCTTTTCAAATTATTAAATGATTAATACTTACGTGCTTTGCTGGATCAGGCCTGGCACTTTGTACTGGCAACGTGCACATCTCACAGCAATTCTTGAAAGATTAAAATGGAAAGGATTCTATTTTTCTGTTTAGACAAAGACTTTAATAACCGATTTCAGCAACTGTGAGGCATTGAGCTGGTGACTCAAAGCTCTGACCTGTGAATCGGGGCTGAATGAATGCCTCCAGAAGGTTGGAGGAGGGAATAGTACTACATTTGCCAGGTTTCTAATGAGAAATATGACCCCTGCCCAGACCACTTGTGGTCATTAAGGATTGCATTTCACTTTGAGATGTGTTTTCTACCCAAATTGCAACTTGAGTAGTTACATTCTGCTCACTAAAATATCCCTGCGGTTTAATTGGAGAAGTTATGTTTCCCTTCCCCTCTTAAAAGCTTTGTTGTATAACGCTGTGGTGCTATCATAATATGTGCTGTATAATCTGTAGAGCGCACACACACACACAAAACCGCACCATCAGAGTCTCTGAAGTAGCTGGCTTTCTACAGTAACAAATAGAATTAGGGTGAAAGCAGCATCTGGGGAACCCAGTTCCACATTGAGTCTCCTGCCACCCTTGCGAAGCATGTCACAAGCACTGTCACACGGCAGAGGCAGCATTTTTGCATTTACTTTGCACATGTGTAAATCACTGCACAAGGCAAAGCATCAAGTATGTGGTCTTGGACATAAGGTCTTTCGCAATGAGCATGCTAGGCTTAGTATTATGATGGCACAGCCTGGAAACAAGCAATAATTTTAAAATGTGGCATGGATGTTCAGACAGATTGTGTGTGTCATGACTTTTTGTGGATAAGATTTAGGTATTTTGTGGGGAAAGGGTTTTATTGGATGACATTCAGTGATAGAGGGGATGGAAAGAGATTGCAGTTTAATTAAAATTCTAATCCCAAGTTTGACAATTTTTCTTGCCAGGTCAGCAGCCTGCATGTTCTGTTTGTGTTTCCCGTGAATTAAATGGGCTGACAGTTGTCAGCTTCTTCAGAAATGCCTGTAAATCCAGCTAAAAATTAACAAACATCAATATGTTTCAGTGCAGCTTTGAGTAGGGATATGTCACGCAGCAGTTTTCCATCTATGTACATATGGGAGCCTTTCACAAGCACCAGTTTAGTCCACTGCTGCCAGTGCTCAAATACAAATGGAAAAAACCCTTTTCCTTCAGTAGGAAGTCACGGTTACTGTCCTGTGCTGCTGAAATCTCACTGGCATGTTCCTGTTTTCCAGGTAGTTAAACAGCGTTGCCACAAAGGTAGTACTCATCTTTCACCAGCCATGAGGCTTCCTCTGCTTTGTGCCTCCGTGATGCTAATGAGTCTGTCCCAGTGCCGAGCTGTCAGCTTCCCTGAAGATGAGGACCCTATTAATGTTGTTGACTACCACTGTAAGTAATCTGCAAATGGTGCTAACCGCTAGGGAAAAAGTTTTAATGTGGGGTTTTTTTTTCCCTTGAGAAGTTTAAAAAAAAAAAGTCTGTTTTCTTTCAAATCGAAATGTGTTTACTGGCTTTGTATCTTTAATAGAACACTTAATCATTTTCTTAAAAAAGCAATCAGAAATACAGCAATAACTTCAGGAAAAAGAACATTTGCTGACATTAGCCATCTTTTTCTCATTTAAATTCAAGACATTCCTCAAGGAATTTAGTTTAAACCCTTCTACACCTAGTATATACAGCTAATCAATGCCATATATTGATTCTTTAGCTCTATAATCCTGAGTGATGGTGTAGCCCATTTTTACTTGCAGATTCAAGGCAATATCCAGTATTTAGAGGACGCCCTTCAGGCAATGAATCTCAGCACAGACTGGACTTCCAACTGATGCTGAAAATTCAAGACACACTTTATATCGCTGGCAGGTAATTTTCCTCCACTCAGTTCATTAGATTAAAATTCTTTTCTCTTCTGGTTTTGCATTAATGTGTAAAATTCATTTAGAAAAATCTGCAGAATATGATAAAAATTAGAACTGGGGAGGACTTCCCAGAGAAATATACCGTATCTATGGCCAGTGCATGAAAATTGGATTTGAAGGCTGCAGTTACTGTAGTTATGCTAAAACCAATGATCAAATACTCTTTTCCCTCTTTTATATTACTGCCCTGATAAAACCCTCTCCTGATCATTTTAAACTTGGACTGACACGTCGGGGATGTAGGAAGTGAGGATAACACACTTGAATATTTACAGTCCAGATTAGTCTTCCACAGAATGGAAAGGCAGAGATGGATAGCTGGACACTGTAGGTGCTAAGGACTACACCAATAAAAATCAAATCCACCCCATGTTACCCCTGACCAACCTTCTCCGATTTGTATTAAACACCAAAAATCCATAAGCATTTCATAGAAGTTTCCGGTCTAACAAAACACTCTAAAAATAGATTTAGCTTATCAAAAATAAGGTCAATGAATTAATGTATTTACTTGTGTCTTTTTACTCTTTGCAAACAGGGACCAAGTTTACACTGTAAACTTAAATGAAGTTCCAAAATCGGAAGTTACTCCAAGCAAGGTGAGTAGATAAAGAGGTGCTGGCAAGGGAGAGTTATTTTCTTTGGTTTAAATTTTTTTAAGATTTTTTTTGTGGAAAGGAAACCAAATGTTCTTTTCTGGTTTGATTTAACAGAAATTAACATGGAGGTCAAGGCAGCAGGACAGAGAGAACTGTGCTATGAAAGGCAAACATAAAGTAAGTTTAGCACATACATTATAGAAAAACAACACTAGTGTTTATTATATATGTGAAGTCTGTGATTAATGCATCGTACTCTCTTTTCAGGATGAATGCCATAACTTCATTAAAGTCTTTGTTCCAAGAAATGATGAGATGGTGTTTGTCTGTGGAACAAATGCATTTAACCCTATGTGCAGATACTATCGGGTAAGAATATTGAAAATGTCATTAATCTGTTACTGGTTTTGCTTGCACTAATTATGCTATAGCAAATACATCCGGTGTGATTGGAGAGTGCTTCAAGGTGAAACAAAAACAGACAGAAGCCAATGTGCCGAATTAAGTTTTGTGGAAAGACCACGTTACGTTTTTGTGCCAGTGTACAAAATAGAAATGACACTATCACCCATTTATTTTTTTTCTCTAGCTGAATACCTTAGAGTATGATGGGGAGGAAATTAGTGGTTTGGCAAGATGCCCATTTGATGCCAGACAAACCAATGTCGCCCTCTTTGCTGGTAAGAACCTTTGCTTGTAATGACTCTAAATGATTAATGACACCAAAGGAGCCAGAGAGCTTTTAAAGCAAGCACAGGAAAGCTAAAGGTGTCATGGTGCCCCTGCTCTTAAATTTTTTAAAGGGCCTCCAAAGGATTAGAACCTGACCTGTTAATAAATAGGTTACAGCAATTTGGGGAAGAGTAGCAGTAAAGAAATGGAGAAAAGTACAGGCTAGTCAGAATTCTATAGATTATTGAAGGCCTCTTAATATCACGTTTTCAACTTCCGTTTTAGATGGAAAATTGTATTCAGCAACAGTAGCAGATTTCCTGGCAAGTGATGCTGTTATTTATCGCAGCATGGGGGATGGATCTGCCCTAAGAACAATAAAGTATGACTCCAAATGGATAAAAGGTAATTTGGGGAAGTATTTTCCCATACACATGGCAAATGTAATTTCAGTGACACAGAGGATTCACAGCCAGCGTGCTTTACACATATGCTACAATGTCAGCCTTTATGTGGCTTTCAATATAGTATGATTACTATAAAAAAGCAGTTTAATACAAATAAAGCAAAATTTTTTGTTAAAAACATCAATGAATCTGCAGTAACAAAATACCTTAGCTGAAATGCAATTTCTGTGAGGCCTTTTTACAGTCCATTACCCTACATTAAAGACTTCAAGTTCACTTAAGCTCCAGTGCACCCATATTTGAACATCCTGGAAAACCAGAGCTTATGTTAGCTGGAGGAGCTTATGTGAGCCTGTGGAGGAGCCGCTAAGTCACACAGCGCAGTAGGTGTCGTATGCCGATTGAGTATTTCTTTGAAGTAACCTTCTCCTTTGCTCTTTCTTACAGAACCACACTTCCTCCATGCCATAGAATACGGGAACTATGTTTATTTCTTCTTCCGAGAAATTGCTGTAGAGCACAATAATTTAGGCAAGGTAGGTATCGTCACAGCAAGCTGTCAAGTAGCCAGGAGTCATAGCAGAACGAGATCATCCGAAAACAGCATCAGTAACAGCCGCAGTTTACAATATGAAGTGGGGACTAGTACAAAGTTCGCACAGTTTTCCATCATTATAATTTACAGGGAGCAAAAAATAGAGAAATAGAACAGTGCATTCTTCATCCAAAAAGTTGTTTCTGTTCTCTCTGCCTTGCTGTGAGACAAGCTCGCTACAGGTATCTCTTAGTATTGCTGTTGCCTTAACACTTGTGGCAAGTAAAGGAAAATCTGAGGGGTTTTTCATGCTTATTAAAGAAACAAAAGAAAACAACACAAAAGAATAGTTTCAAAGAAGTTTCTCTGATGTCCCTGGATATTGAATAATTCAGTCATGCCAGTGCAGAGTATAATACTCATGCCTCACCATGGAAGGATATTCTATAATAAATTATTAAATCCTTTACACATGGTTAATTAAAGTCTTTAAATCTCACTAACAATATGATTTTAAAGGGAAAAGGGGTGGGGACAAGCTGCAGAGTTGCATTTGCTTGGTGATACATTAAAATGTCTGTACACTACAAGGTAAACACTGCTTTCATCTTTTCTGTGCAGATAAATGGCAGCTTCCTGTTAACACAATTATCTTTGGTGGTTTATTACCAGCACAGAAACCAACACTGTTTTCCTTGCCTCTCTCAAGCCTCTCTCCCTTTTCCTTTTTTTTTTTTGTTTGTTTTTGCCCTTCACAGGCTGTGTATTCCCGTGTGGCACGGATATGCAAAAATGACATGGGGGGTTCCCAAAGAGTCCTGGAGAAGCATTGGACATCTTTTCTGAAAGCTCGGCTCAACTGCTCAGTTCCTGGGGATTCTTTCTTCTACTTTGATGTTCTGCAGTCTATCACAGACATAATAGAAATCAATGGAGTCCCCACAGTTGTCGGTGTATTCACCACACAGCTTAACAGGTGAGAGATGAGCAACCTTACATCAAAGGTAGTTCTCTGGTTCTCTCTTACACTAAGATTGGTGCCATTGTAGTCTGAGTTCGTGCAACTATTCTTCTAATTTTACAGCATCCCTTGCTTTCAGCATGGATGATATTGAGAAAGTCTTCAAAGGGAGGTTTAAAGAACAAAAGACTCCTGACTCTGTTTGGACAGCTGTACCTGAAGACAAAGTACCAAAGCCAAGGTAAAAGGTTCTTACTCATGATGCCATAATATTGTCCTTGTAAAGAGCTACCTTAAATCAGCTGCACTCTTCAGTGTCTTGTTGGTTGAAAACCAAAGCAGAGCTTTACACTTCAGCTGTAAGGATGCTCATTAGCAGGCTGCCTTCTCTCATTAACTAAAATACCAAGAGGAAAACAATGTTGTTCTCCTTTCAGACCTGGCTGCTGTGCAAAACACGGCCTAGCAGAGGCTTACAAAACCTCCATTGATTTCCCAGACGAAACGCTCTCCTTCATCAAATCTCATCCTTTGATGGATTCAGCCGTTCCTTCAGTCATTGAGGAGCCCTGGTTTACCAAAACACGTGTCAGGTATGACACCATTCAAATACAATGCATGTGAAAAAGAAAACAAGAAAACGCGCTGTTAATGATACACCTTTTGGTCTTGATAGATACCGATTGACAGCAATTGCTGTAGACCACGCTGCTGGACCTTACCAGAACTACACAGTCATATTTGTTGGCTCCGAAGCAGGAGTAGTACTTAAGATCTTGGCAAAGACCAGGCCTTTTTCTTTGAATGACAGCGTATTACTGGAAGAGATTGAAGCCTATAATCAAGCAAAGTAAGTATTACCAGAACACCTAAGCTCTTCATCTAGCCCTTGGTACCTGGCTAAAAAAAAGTCACTGTAAACGAAACTCGACTCATTATCACCAACATCACCACTTGTTTGTCATTTCACAGTGTTCCTCATGTTGAATAACCTGAAAATATTTGGTCACTTGCCATTTTGCATGGGTTGAGTGAACAGCCTAATTCCACTCTGGTGACGTCAATGATACAGTCTAATTCTTCCGCAAATAGATACACTTCTTCCTGAATACGAAACGTCAGAACTATCTGCTGCTGTTAAAAAGGAGTGATGTGAGCTTATCTTGAGGGTTTCTCAGGAGTGACCAATAATGTATAAACTTCATCTAATCATTTTAAACTTGTTTATTCTGGTGCAAAGGATTTGTGAATGGAAGCGTTCCAATTAGACTCTACAGGCATCCAATACAACACTCCTGTTCTGCTCTGTCAAGATATTTATGCTGAGAGAATAAAGAAAATGGATTTGGGTTTTTTTCCTACATAGTTCAGCGAAATTGTCACCTAGCTGTAAATAAGAGCCAGAAGCTGGCATTTGATAACCCATAGGTTCGTTTAGAAATCATTCAGCAAAGACTAGTAAGTTACATTTATATACATAAAAGGTCTCTTTTCAGTATCTACAAAGACAGTACATAAATAAAATGTTTGCAGTGTAAGCAAAGCACAAAGTACTACAGTTACTCAAATAATAGCCTCCCATTATTTTTGCTTAACAGGTGTAATGCTGAGAGCGAGGAGGACAGAAGAGTCATTTCCCTTCAGCTGGATAGAGACCACCATGCTCTGTTCGTAGCGTTCTCCAGCTGCGTCATTAGAATTCCTCTGAGTCGGTGTGAGCGTCACGGGTCATGTAAAAAGTACGGCCCCGTTCCTGAACTCCCCCTTAAAGAAAGGGCACCAACATCTCTTGGGAAGGAAGTAAAAAATGCATGATTTTTTGGGGTTTTTCTCTTGCAAGGGCATGTATTGCTTCACGAGACCCATACTGTGGCTGGTTAGACCACGAGGCATGTGGAAGAGTGACACCAGGCATGCTGTAAGTACTGCTTTTCAGATTAGCCCAACATCTCTACATATGCTTTATAGACCACATGAGCTCATATCCTGCGCCTGTTCCCTTGCACTCAATTAATAAATCTCCATGGTTTTAGGGATGGTTTTTTAGTGTACTGTATATGTAAGAGAACAGGATGCTAAAGTCTGACCTAATTCTGCAATCTCTAGGTGAAGACTTGCTTTCAGTGGGAGTTTTATATGTGTGGGGGAGGACAAGCAGACCTGTAGGAAGAGCAGTTGGAAGCAGGAAGGCAAGAAATTGCTGCCTGCAAACTTGAGCAGCTTGGAGAGGACAGTACACAGTATCCCCTCCCAGGCCATGCTCACAGCCGGGGCACAGTCAATTGCAAATATGAAAGCACAAGATTCACAGTGGGAAAAGAGTAAGATTTTACCTCCACGCTGGAGCTGGGGTGTGATGCATGTGCATACCAAAGGCATTTTGCACAAATCAAGTCTGTAATATGCAGTGCATTAGCAGTGGTATCTTAAAAAGAGACCTTTGTAGCAGGTCAGTGCAAACTTTAGCATAATTGGATAGTTGTATGTAAACCCAGGAGCACACCCAGTTTAGAAGATATGATGAAGTTGCTGAAAAAAGGGATTTTTTTTTGCCTATTTCCTGGCATAAGCACATATATAGAGTTTTAAAGCCTGGTTATAACTAACTTGCACATTTTTTAAAACAATTTTTTTGGGCCATCCACTCGCTCTTGTATATGTTTCCATTTGCTGCTTCCAGAAAAAGAAAATCACCATTTGTTTCCCTACTAATACTGTTAATTGCAGGTTCTCTTTGTTTGTTTCATACAACCACAGCACCGGAGGATACGTACAAGATGTCGAATACGGCAACACAGCACAGCTTGGGGACTGCCATGGTAAGGCATAGTCATTGCTGCTCATCTGAAACGTCTCAACAGTAGTCTGTGGCCATACCTCACTATGGATGTTAAATTTATGATGAGCTTTTCAGTAACATGATGAACACATCACCAGGCATTACTGTGGATGTTCACAAAGCTGAGCTTTTTGGTCCTGGGTGGCAGAGTTTTGTCTTTCCTTCACCAGTTTACAACTATTTGGGGTCTACAGCAAAGTATTGAAGAATTTAATTTTTGTGAGCAGTAATATTTTAGGTTTTATTTTTCATTACTCAGGTTTGAGATCTTTTGCTTTCTTTTTGTTACTTTTTACTGATTACTTGTTCCTTTAATTCTTTTAGAAATTTTGCCTACTACAGCTACACCAGATTACAAAATATTTGGCGACCCAACATCTGGTTAGTTTTTTTTAATTTTTTTGAATTAATGACCTTTACTTTCCTTCAGTTCAGCATTTTCAGCCCTTTTTTCCTTCCTTTTGCACAGTTGGCAATCCTCCATTTCTGTGCTTTTACTCATGTTCCCACTGATGGTAAAGATAGTCAGACTCTTCTCACTCAGCACTTCACCCTGTGTAGCCGCATGTTAACAGCTCATTATTTATTGAGACATCTTTTATTAAAGAGCCTGATTAACATAGATGACATCTTCATGCACGAAAGTCCACTAAGCTTTACTCTTTATCCCCAGCCATGCGTTTGTGAATGCCCCTGTCGGTCATCTCTAGTAGATGAATGGCAGAATTTCATCATCTTCCTCCTTACCTCTCCTTTCCTCTTTTCCTTCTTTCCCAGCAAGCTTTTTGCACAAATACACATTTTCTAAAATGTGTATTTTTATATTTTTGAAATGTTTTTAGTAGTTTGTATTAATGAAAAAATTTAACATCACAAACTGTGTAGCTGAATGAGGACTTGTGTAGACAAAGGTGGCTTAGAAAAAAACTTTATGCGTTGTTGTCAGATGGACTTTCACATCCTTTTCTCCTTCAGTGATTTTTCTAATAGTGTTTTCACTGTCAGCCCCTGGTGTTCAGGGAGACACGACCCAGTGCGCCTCTTTTGAACTCAGAAGCAGAACCTGTGTTGACTTCAACAGGAGCAAGACTTATTTTCCAGTCTTAGCTCCCAGAACTTGGTCTCTGCTTTCAAACTGAGGGCACCTTTCTGACTGAAAATTTGAACATAATCCATTTGTATGTTAAATTTGTAAGAGTGCAACAAGAACAAGAACATTATTTTGTGTTTTGGTTTCTGATATTTGCACTTCTATAACTTGACGAGAAGTAATGTTTGAGACAAATATTTACCCATAATGTAAGTTAGAGACTCACTTAAGAAAGCAAAACAGACCACAGCTGTGTTACATGGAAATGCTACCTTGCTTGCATGAGTGTTTATCAACTGAATTTTCAAAGTGATATTTTAGGACACAGATACAACTGAACCTTATTTTCAGGTCCTGAATGTGCTTTCAAAGTCATATTTCAAGCCATAGACGTTAATGCCTAAACCTACTGGGACAGTGAACACAAAATACTTGAGTGTGCAAAGTAGACTTTGGATTGTAAACCCAGTTTGGTGTGTTTCCTCCTCTTGCGTATTTTCAAGTAGGTTATAGTGGTTCTGTTCAGCAAATGTACTACAGAGGAGCCAGAATCTATGCAACAGTGTTCCTTAGGAACCATTACAAAATAGAGGTTAAAAACATTTCTTTCGTCCCCACCTGTAGAAATGGCTCATTCAGCAGTTCCTGTTATACCATAGTAGCACTAATGGAGCTGATCTGGTTTCTCAAGCGTAACCTGTCATGAGTGTGTATCTTTCCAAGTAACTTGTTTTTTTTCTGAAGATGTTTAAAAGGCAGCCAAGTATGTTGTCTCCAGTGAAGAATATAGCAATTAAGTAAAATAAGTTGTGCTTTTCACCTCCACCAGTTGCTTACTTCAACTTTTGCACTGCTTTCATGTTTGACTTCTCTGGCTTTTTGGCTAGCGGCTGTTGATGTTTGAATGTATTATTTTTGTACTTAAAGTTTTGAACCAATTGATTTTAATCAGCCCTCTGTACTTCCGCAGAGTGTAGGGAGTCACACTTTGCTCTGACGTGTAATTCCCGTTAAATACTGTCTCCAGCTATAGCTTAGATGTGCCATGAAACAGTGAGGAAAGCCTGACTGTAATACACATTAATAAAAATCTGTTTGCCACCACAGACATGGAGTTCTCCTCAGCTTCCATTACCACAATGGCAAGTATCCCAGTTATATCACCTAAAGTGATTGGTTCCTGGAAACCTAAAGTGACTGGCTCTCGGAAATTTGTAGTTCAAGATGACCCAAACACTTCTGATTATTCTGATCCATTATCAGGTGTCCCAAAGGGTAAGGCCTTACCAGGGAATACATTGCAGCTGAATGGAAACCTGATAGTCTCAGCATTGTCTAAGGCTTAAATGTAACAGCCATGATTCTTGGCCTATATTTTACACCCATTTCCTGTAAATATGCAGACAGTGCAATCATGTTTTTCGTACCTACTTATCTGGTGTACAAAGCGCTGCTTAGAGCTTATAATGGGAAACAGATAATAAGCTCAGCCTTTTATTCCTGGAGTGGTCCAAAGCTCCCATTAAAATCAGTTGGAGTTCTAGGTACATTAAAAAAAATTACATTCAAGACTTATCCGCACCTCTGGTGGTTGTTTTCAAACCAGGCTAGTTTGGGTAAGACTATTAGTCCTTTTGAATAGTTGCTTACAAGAGCTTAATGGGGTGGTTTTTTCCGTTTGGTTTGGGGGCATTGGGTTTTTTTGGGAGGAGGTGGAGAGTGGGAATAGAAAACCACAGCTCCATGACAGATCCATGCCTTAAATAGGACATATCCCAAACTCTGCCTGCCTGCAGCATGTTTCTGAAGAATGTGGATCAGATCTGAGTAAGGATGTGCTGAAGTTTTCTTCTGTGGGTACGAGCATCAGTTTACAGATGATCTCAGTACGTAGACACGCACAGGTTTCAAGCCAAGCACAAAAAGAAACATAGTCTGCATGTAATTCATCGTCCTGTAGCCATTCTTTCAGCTAAGTGAACCTTTGATTAGGCTCATACAGCAACAAAGACTTTAATTCAGTAGGACTATTGCAGTCAACCAAAGAATCTAGAAGCTTCCGATCCCATAACCAAAACTTACTACAAGTCTTCATCAGTACACAGAATAGCCAGGTGACAGACATGTTTGCACAATTCTGTATTTACTGAAAATCTCACCAGCCAAAAACCATTCGTGTTTTATTACCATTCACCAAAACATATCAGGTTTCCTATCAGCCATTATGGCAGTACATTTGTCATTTTAATTTGGTTACAGTTATTTTCCATTTTGCTTTAAGTTTTTGTTATCATTTGCTCTTGATTCTGAATTACATTTTGTGTTACAGCTACTAGTGAACTTTACTCATGTTTTCTTTCTTCTTCTGCACAGTGCCATTAAAACCTATAACCCTGAACATTAACAATGTTCAAAGGCCTTGCCTCTAACAAAAGTGAATCTGTTCCATCCCTCTTGCTCTTTCATTTTAACATCCCTTGGGATAGTTAACAGAATTACTTCCATTAAAAACTAACGTTGTCTTAGCTGCAAGATGTCTGTGGTTGCTTTAAAAATCTCAAAAAACAAAGGGAGCTTCTTAATACACAAATAAAAAACTAATCCAGTATTCAATTTCTTGGTCTAAGCTAAGTTTTCTAAATTTTACCATTCTCTAATAACTTAACCTTGTGAGTTGTGGGGTTTTTTTAATATTATGCAAGTATTTATGTTCATTATTGACTAAAAAAAAAAAAAAAAGAAAAATTAGTGCTCTAATAGAATGACATAATCTTGAACTTCAAAAATTGTACACTTATATAATGCCAGCTGTGCCACTCCAAGGCTAGCAACCTATGGATGCATTAATTTACAAGTTTTGCAACGTATTACATTAATGCAGTTCTAACAATGCAGTATGTACGTTATACAGTTTTACACAACATTTGCATAATCCTGTCTTTCTTTTGATACTGATTTATGAGTTGGGCAGAAAATGGAGAGAGAAATCCATCCATGAGTTCTTAATTGCTGTCTGGCCTAGGAGCACCTTCTAACCTCAATTTTCCAGCAGAAATCATTAATGTTAATAACATACAGGCCCCTATTTGTGAACCTTAAAGGAAATTTTGGGACAAATTAAACTGAACATAATGTGAAGAGAGAAGCTTCGACAAGCATTCCTCGTTATCAAAGAAAACGGACAGTCTTCATTTAGACTGATCAATGTTCACACAGTCATTTTTATTTATAAAATTATTTGCATTCACCGGTGCTGTGGATCGCAGGATCCAACTGAGTCACACTAACACTAGACACAGGGCACTTACAAACACTTAATAGACACTTCCTCGAGGGAGGCTGCCTTCTGAAATGTATCTGTATGAAGTACATGTAGATTTACGATATACTGCATGTCTTTTGCAGGTGTAAGGTGGGAAGTACAATCAGGAGAGTCCAACCAAATGGTACATATGAATGTCCTAATCACTTGTGTCTTTGCCGCTTTTGTCCTGGGAGCCTTTATTGCGGGAGTGGCCGTTTACTGTTACCGGGATATATTTGTACGGAAATCCAGAAAAATACACAAAGATGCAGAATCGGCTCAGTCCTGTACTGACTCCAGTGGAAGCTTTGCTAAACTGAATGGGCTGTTTGATAGTCCCGTCAAGGAATATCAACAAAACATTGATTCACCCAAACTTTACACAAACCTGTTGACTAGCAGAAAGGAGTTGCCACCAAACGGTGATACGAAGTCCATGATGATGGACCACAGGGGCCAGCCTCCAGAATTAGCTGCGCTTCCAACTCCTGAATCTACACCAGTTCTTCAACAAAAGACTCTGCAGGCTATGAAGAGTCAGTCAGACAAAGCGCATAGTAACCTCAATGCTTCACGAAAGGAAACCCCGCTGAAAAGCCCTCAGTTTTTTCCTTCTAGTCCTCCACCCCACTCTCCTCTAAGTCACGGACATATTCCTAGTGCTATTGTTCTGCCCAATGCCACCCACGATTACAATACATCTTTCTCAAATTCTAATGCGCACAAGGCAGACAAAAAGATGCAACATATTGATCATCCACTTACAAAACCATCCAGCAAAAGAGACCACAGGAGGTCTGTTGATTCCAGGAACACCCTGAATGATTTTCTGAAACACTTAAATGAAACTACTAGTAATCCCAAAGCCATTATGGGAGATATTCAAGTGGCGCACCAGACTTTAATGCTGGATCCAATGGGAAATATGTCTGAGATCCCACCGAAGGTTCCCAACAGGGAGGCGTCTTTATACTCTCCTCCATCAACTCTTCCGAGAAACAGCCCCACAAAACGAGTGGATGTTCCTACCACTCCTGCAGTACCAATGACCTCTTTGGAAAGGCAGAGGGGTTATCACAAAAATTCTTCACAAAGGCATTCAATATCTGCCCTTCCTAAAAACTTAAACTCACCAAATGGTGTTTTATTATCCAGACAGCCTAGTATTAATCGTGGGGGGTACATGCCTCCCTCGGCAGGCACAAAGATGGACTACATGCAAGGGACGCCTGTCAGCGTTCACCTCCAGCCTTCCTTGTCCAGGCAAAGCAGTTACACGAGCAATGGCACCCTTCCTCGTACAGGAATAAAGCGGACACCCTCCTTAAAACCTGACGTGCCACCAAAACCCTCATTTGTTCCTCAAACAACTTCAGTCAGACCACTGAACAAATACAGTTACTAGGACATGGCTGTGCTAAAAATGAGTGTGGTGTTGACCTGTACAGGTTGTGGGATGATGTTGTGGTAGACACATAAGACAGAGACTCGCTTGTTGTTAAAGAGAACAAAGTGGCCAAAGAAACTGTCTTTACTTCAGCAACATCTGTGTCTTGCCACATGTAGCTATAGCAAGACTTCCTGTACTTGCTAAGAACAAACACAAAAAAAAAAAAAAAAACAAAGGAAAGTGCTGGTCATTACATTTCTTTTGTTTGGAGCTAAGGAGACATGTAGCACAACGGGGTGGGGGCTACTTTACTGTTCTAACTAGCTTAAAAAAAAAGTTCTTGGGAAAAAAAAATCAGTAAGCAAATACTTGAAAAATGGGTTCCATTTTAGACTGCCATTAAGCGTGGTCCTTCCCATTAAATGTGAACATTTTAATATGTATGCATTCACCTTGCCTCTTGCACAAATGTCAGAAAATGGTAATGTCTCAATGAATATCTGGGTTAATAATCAATTTGCTGGAATTCAGTCTCTGGCCCAACTGTAGCATTATTATTTTTTTTCTCTCCGTGTGTGGCATTTTGTTTGTGCCACAGATAAAGCTGTGCGTGTGTGTGGATGTGCGTGTGTACTGTACACACTAGGATGTACTTAGATTCCCATTGCATCTTCTATGCTGTGGAATTGTTTACATTGAGCATGACTGAACAAACAGATGACTCCTCTGCCTTCTGCAGCCCATTGGGTTCAGTTTGGGGACAGCTAAGGACAAACTGCACATCTCTGCCAGCCTTCTGAATGATACCGCCTTGATGAAATAGTCTTCTAGTGAAAGAGTGCAGATATGTTTAATTCTTCATAACTCTGTTGTGCTGCTATTGATTCAGAGCTGTGCATTTCAAATCTAGTGTTTTTGGGCTGGAACGGGGGAGTTTTACTGTGTTTCCACAGTGCCTCCATCCAGTACCTGGCCACTGTGAACTTGAGCCCCTGTACTTCTCATTGAGGGCAGCTATGAATAATCAATTCACTTGGCAAAGACCTGTGCAACTGGAGAAGGTTACGTTTTTGTTGCATTTAATAATGCCCTACACACTGATAGACTCTTGTCAATAAAAAAAAGAGGAAACATTAATTGGCCTGGCAGAAGCAGTCTGTGAAAACTCAACAGTAGTGCAATCAATTTGTTTTTGTTGTGTAATGTAAGGGGTTTTTTTTCCAAAGTCATGCAGGTAATGACAATATTCTGTAAATAATATGTGTGAGTTTACCTGAATCTGTGCATTTTGTGCCTTATTCATGCAAATGATAAAAGTACTAAAAAAAATATGAATCTGTCAAGTGTTCTCACTATAGGACATATCTCCTGAGTGCCAGTTGTAAAACCTCTCAACAGCACCCCCCAAAAAAAAAAAAGCTAAAAAGCAAGAATAATTAATGGTAACTAAAGGCAGCCTACAATCCAAGAAGACAGCAGCATTAAATCACCTTACCATGATAAACATTCCACTCCAGCTCTCCGAAGGATCAAACAGTTATAATGTGAAATCAAATGAGGTTTCTAGGGTAATGGAACACCTGCTAAAGTTGTGTAAGCTATTTAGTAGGTTTTACAGTATCTACTTGCAGCTGATGTTCAACACAGATGGCTATTTTAGCTTGCAAACTACACACTACCACATTGTTTATTGAACATAACTATAGAAATAACTATGGCAGAGGAATATTCATGAATTAGCGGGACAAATAACTGCAGTGGGTTTCAGAGACGGTGGAGATTTATATTATGTGTTCAAAGGGGAGAAAAGGTTACTCACTGAAAACTGGATCTCTGTTACAGAACAAAGACTAGAAGTAGTCATTTTTTTCTTGTAAGGCTGTAAGAGACATTTATTTCCTGAGACCTCTGGATCCAAAAAATCAATGATCTCTCTTCCTAAACACTTCTGTCTTGCAACTAAAACACTACAGATTAATAACTATTAAAAAACGTACTCAGTTGTCAAAAGACACAAACTGATCCGAATTCACTTTACAAATATTAATTAATACAGACTTGTGTGAAACCGAAAGATAAATGTATGTGAACCCTGATAACCTCCTGTAACATTGTGCTGCCTTGTAGATGGTAATGTGAGTTCTCTCAGTATTTATGTTGAAATTTCTAACATTCAACCTAGTCCTTATTCTGTTAATTTAATAATAAAAGATGCTTTATCCATTTGTGCAAAGGTAAACGCAGATTGTATCTTTTTTAATGGTACGGCATAAAAAAAGTAACCCTTAAATGAAGCTGCTCTATACTATAGAGTACTTTAACATGTATAGATATCTTGTAAACTTGTATTGTGGATGTGTAAATAATACGTTCTTTGGGTTTTTAACACCGCATGTAAAGTCAAAATAAAATATTCCAATGTACTGAGTGGCTAATGTCATTATTAGTGAAGGCAGTGTTAGGTGCATTGTTGTTGGAATTGCAATAGAGGAAAACTCTGCTTGCCTGTAGTAGCTCTGTGAAGAAGGCACAGAGACATCCGCTCATCAGCCTGACAGAGGACTGGCAGGGGGTGACCGGCAACACACATCCGTGTCCTTCCATTTTCATCACAGCCACATGTTGACATGCATGTTCTTGAGGGAGAGTGAGTGTCTGCAGACAACTTTCAGCCTCCTGAGTTAAATATAAAACGTCAGACGGTAGTACAGAGTCAGGGTTGCCCATTTGGCACCCCAAGAAGATGCACCGAATTTGCAAATACATCGTATGTGCCCGTATGAAGCCTTTATTGGAGCTTGAGCCAAGTTTCAGCTAGGCTCTGGTTCCTGCAAACCTTTTTTGTTAAGGTTAGAAAAAAAATACCAAATTTTTTTTGTGCAAATACAGTACAGTTGTGAAAAAAGATAGTATGTTCCTGCTAAAATGTAGGCTACAAAAAGATAGAGATCATTCCTGGCAAAAGTAATTGCCAACTTTACAAAGCAGGACATTCCTGAATACTTACTAATGCTTAATAATTGAAATTCACATTTCAGGCAGACAGTAAAGCCTAACAGAAATATACATGCCATATATTCAGCAAGTGCCAACATCACACGTAATTTTAAAATATTCAGGGTAATTTAGTATCAAAAAACAAATATATTTTAATCAAAAGCTGATTTTAGATAATGGGTAAAAATTATTATGAGATTATGCCATCAAGGTATTAATCATTTGAAATTACTGTGCATGTTACAACAATACAATGGCACCTACTTGTATTTTACTAAAAAAAAATTCTAAAGGGAAAAGAATCATGGTGCTTAAAAATAAAAAAAATCCCAAAACTGTAATGGCTTATCCTGGTTTTGGCCGGAATAATTGTCTTCCTAGCAGCTGGTTAGTGCTGTGGTTTGGATTCAGGATGAGAATAATGTTGCTAACACACTGATGGTTTAGTTGTTGCCAAGCAGTCAAGGACTTTTCAGCTTCTTATACTGCCCTGCCAACTTGGGGTGAGGGTACATAGACAGGACAGCTGACCCAAACTGGCCACAGGACTGTTCCATATCATATGATGTCATGGTCTGTATATAACTGAGGATTGGCTGGGAGGTGGCACAGCTCAGGAACTAGCTGAGCATCTGCTCCAGGTGGTGAGCAAGTGTGCTGTGCATCACTTGTTTTGTATATATTATTATTATCATTATCAGCATCATCATCTTCCTTTTCTGTCCTATTAAACTGTCTTCATCTCAAACCATGAGTTTTCCCTTTTGTTTTCCAATTCTCTCCCCCATCCCACTGGCAGGGTGGGGGGGGCAGTCAGCAAGCAGCTGTGCGGTTGTTTTAGCTGCCAGCCAGGTTAAACCATGACATGGCTCAATATGTTTTTGGGTTTTTTTTGTTGGTGGGTTGTTTTTTTTTCCTGTAATGCAGAAGCAAATTTAGATTTCTTTTTATTGATGTGGGTTTTTTTCCTTTGCATGTCTTTATATATAAAATGAAGAGTCAAACACATAGAGCTGCCATATGCTGCAAGCCAGTGATGCTTTTCCACTTTAACTATGCCTTTGACGTGAAAGTGTCAGACGGTATGGCTAAAGGTGCTCCCTCTGTGACAGGGGAGTACCTTTTGAAGCACACCTACTTGAATACTTTTCAGCCAGGCATTAAGGGTCGTAATGAGAAATTACAAACAGTTAGTGGCATATAAATGTGCATCTACAACACAAAAGATGGAATAATTTTAGCCAGAAAATACCAGGATTTATTCTGTCTAAAAGGTGTTAAGTGACCATTTTCTGCAGGTACTTGTTTTGGTCTACATTGAACCAGCTTTTGCTTAACCAGCATGACGTGGTGGCTGGATGGGTCTAGCCAGACAATCATCGCGCCTGACATACACTGCCAGGCTACGTAGTAGGTGCAAACACCACAGAATGCTCTGAAAACAGTCACCGTTTCTTAGAAAAATAAGTACAAGACTAACTTTCCCCTTCCCAACAGAGAAGGAATGGGGCAGCCAAAGGCTAACCAGCCATAACAGCTGCTTTTAAATTGCTTTGTCTTTTTAATGATGATGCCAAGGCAGCCACCTACAGACTCCCCCTTCTGAAAGAGAACTGAAACAATAAGGAAAAGCTTAGCAAGAAAAGAAATGAAGGCAATTTCAGTTTTTCTCCTTAGATGCTCTCCTGGGTCAACTGGTTGGTTTTAAGCATCCTAAAGTCTTTGGTGAAGAACATCTGTACCTACAGTGCTAGCTGATGAGTGCGTGAAGGGTGCTTGATGCTGGCGGGCAGGAATGTGCTTGCAAGGGGAGGTCCCAGGCCCAGAGCGCTCAGGGCTGCAGGGAGGCGCACGCAGCCCTGGTGTGGGCATGTGAAGGCAGAGGAGAGGCTCCCGCTCACCTCTGGCTTCCTTTGTTTCTTCTAGAAAAAAAAAAACCAAAAAACCATCATTTTGAACAGAACACAGACAAAACAAAAAAGGGCTGCTGGCCCATAGCAGTGAGATGATTGCAAGAAAACCAATTTGTAAAGCCGTGAGTAGTTATCCGTATGACTATGCTGCCAGCACAAACCTATGGCCTTTTAAATTGGGGTCTTAAAGCAATCAGAGTAGTTACAAAAATCAGGATGCAGCTGTCTTAATGCCATCTTGCTAATGACTCACTCTGTGACCCTGGGAAGATTATGCAGGGTTTATTCAGTATAATGGATCCTCAGAAGGCAGCATTCTTAGCTGGAGTATGTGCAGTTGGTCTGTTTGTAATGGTTTTTTTCCACTTATGAAGGTTTTCTGATTTTTTTTCCTTCTCCCTCTGTGATTCTGAGCACCAGCAACGACATCTTGCAGGTAAATAAAGGGAAAGCAAAATCCCTTCCCATCTGGGAAAGGTTAGTATTTGCAGGAGTGGGGAGGAGTTGGCTGGTATTTCCCCAGGTGCCTATTAATTTCATGGGATGGAAAAATATTTTTTTAAAATTTGATCATGACAAAATATCTCATAAATGCAGCATCTGGACTTCAGCTGGGATGTGCAAGCTTTTCATATAAAAAGCAATACCAGGAGACCAACCTACCAAGACTGCATTTGTTGTTCAAATGTCATCATAGCACAGTATGAAAGAGCAAGAAACCAAAGGATTTGGAAGAAAAAGAAAAAAAAAAAAACAAAAACCTCCATTAAATATTTAATTAGATTCAGCTTTGCTCCAAAAACTAGAGATTCTCACCATTTTATTCGATCATACTAAAGTGCAACTGGTATGAGGGCCTGACTCCGGACCAGCCATTGCTGCCTGCTTGCAGACATTTTTGTGGACATATTGCATTGGCCTGACACACATCTGAAATTATAATGTGTCCTGAACTCTCATCTGAGAAACTGTTTCTACTCTGCCTGAAATGAAATTTATTGTAAGCTTTGATTTTATTAGTGCATTCCGAATTCATCCAATGACCTGATGTATGGTCTGCTTGCTTGCTTTTTTCCTAGAGTCCCCACAACTTTTCTGAGCTCTGCTCGTTAAAATTGTAACTAGATCCAAGTCTGTGTCCTACAGTGAAGGCTGCTGACCAGAGCAGACATGCCAGAGGGTGACCATGTTTAGGTACAGTTTGAGAATTCATTGGGCTGCAATGGTGATGTGCATCCTCTCGGTCAGACTGGTGCCTGCCTCTGCCCTTCCTGTCAGCCAGGAAGAGTGTTGCTCAAGCTCCTGTAAGGGTAGGGAAGGAGAAGAAAATCTACCACACGGACAAGCTGTCCTGACCATTTTCAAGAATGGTCCCCACCTGTCAGCAAAAAAGGACGTTTACAACAGGAAAACTTGAATGGCCAAAAAAACCCCAAACAAGCCCTAAACTGACCTGCACACAGCTTGCTGTCCTTGTTTTGTAAATCACAGGCTGTTTTTCCAGGGCAGAGTCCCACTGACTTCCACAAAAATGAGCAAAGAATAACAGTTCTCCATAGTGACCCTATGGATCATACCTGGCTGTAATATATGTTTTGTAACTTTTTCCAGCAGCTGACCTTAAACGCTGGCAAAAGCAGACCATGAGCTAACCCGTTTGCTTCTGTAGCTGTATGACAGCCTTTAACATACATCTATTCCTGCACAGAAATGGACGGCTGCCTAGTAAGAGAAGAAAGGGGGCAATTGGCTTTTAATTTGGGTCATTTTTAAGCATAGCCTTATTTCTCAAATCTTTGATTTACAATACTGGCCCCACATGAGCAAAAAATAATCAGAAGTAGATGAGAGCAGATGAATCATAAAAGCAATGCACAAGCTAGCTGTACCTTCCCTTTCTGTGCATTGAATATCTATCTGATTACTCCGATTTCCTCAAGAATACATGTTGGTCAATTAACAGCTTGAGATTTTTTTTGTTACGGACTAATGGCAAATTTTTATAATCAGGCCGTGCTGTATAACTGTGAATGGCTATTAGTCACAGGTTATTGGGCCTGGCCAACGATCAGGTGAGCGAACAGCGCTCCCAATATTAATGCTGTATG